CCCCCAGGGGAGCCTTTCCTGGATCTAGAGCAATCCTCATGTGTCATAACTTGGGATATTCTAGATAGCTGTGTTTCTGCCTACCAACATCCATCTTCATTTGTCAGGAACCAGCAATCCCCCATCTCCCCACTGCCACCACCAGCCCAGCTGTCCATTAAGGAGCCACCTCAACTGGCTTACCCTCATGACCCTGCAAGTTTCCCATAGCATTGACTGCTCTGACTCCACTATGTCCTTCCACAAGCAGACAGCCTGTCCATTGTGCTCTGCTCATTGTTACCTCCAAATCTTTGCTCACTCTGGACTCTTACTTGGAAGGCCTTTATTCTCAGCTTGTCTGAATCTTAGTCTCTCTTCAAGACTCTGAAAAAGAGCACTGCCCCCTCCTGCTGGCATCCAGGGCTGTCCTGGGCATTCTACATAGGACCTTGGTGTCTCCACCCCTTCACCTCCAAATATTTCCTGCTGCCCATCTTCTCTAGGAAGCTTTGGCTATGGTGTCTCCACATCTCAAACTCTTTCAGGCACCTACTTACTCATCAATCTCCCCAGATTACTTTGAGAGGAATCCCTTCAGGAATGAATTGAGTAACAGTTTCTACCACATGAGTTTTCTCCAGAACTTTATTTTGTATTTTCACAAACTGATATAACTTCTGGGGCACCTCAGTGGTTCAATCATTTGAGCCTCCGACTCTTGGTTTCAGCTCAGGTCATGATCTTGTGGTCATGAGATCAAGCCTCACACCAGGCTCTGCGCTCAGCCCAGAGTCTGCTTCAGATTTTTCTCTCCCTCTCCCTCCAGCTGTCTCTCTCAAATAAATAAAATCTTTTTTTAAAAAAGATTTTATTTTTATTTATTCATAGAGATGCAGAGAGAGAGAGAGAGGGGCAGAGACACAGGCAGAGAGAGAAGCAGGCTCCACGCAGAGAGCCTGACGCAGGACTCGATCCAGGGTCTCCAGGATCACGCCCTTGGCTGCAGGCAGCGCTAAACCGCTGCGCCACCAGGGCTGCCCATAAATAAAATCTTTAAAAGAAAAAAGGCTTCCAAAAAACTTTGGGGACTGACAGCATTTACATATTAACAACATGTGTATAACAGCCACGTAACAACAGGGCAAACTGAACAAAACTACCATTGTATTATTGCCATTGTTTCATAAAAATATATTTGAACACCAAAAAAAGTAGGAAGGGCATAATTTCAGAACAAAGAATCATTCTTTAATTTTATCTTTTAAAAAAACCCTACATTACCCTTAATTTCATTTTGCTATAGACCAGTGAGAACATTGTCATGTAAACCACCAGAAAGGTGCAGAAGAGACTGGAGAATGTCAGAGGAGGGAAGATGAGGGGCAGAGAATAGGGGCCAGGGGGGAGATCACAGAGGTCCCCCAGCGAAGTATTCCCCTGCCCTGAACTGACTCCTCTTCTCCTCTGGGGCGGCTGTGTTTGGGCCCTGGCCAATACGCAAGGCTGTGGCCACATTCACTGGTCAGGTGCCCAGCGACCACTCCCACACCCCTGGCCCTGGCCACCCTGGTGATCTGACTCCCACCCCCTTCATGCTGCACAGGTGTGACCTGTGCATGCCTGTGACCAGCACCAGCTGGATTGGGGAGACAAGCCCCTGGAACAGGAGAAACGGTGCGGGACCTGGGGTCAAGAGCCTGGCGTCTTGGCCTGGCTCTGTTGCATCACTTGTGGACGTCTGCCTTTTCTGGGCCTCCGTGTCCTCACCTTAAAATGAAGGTTCTGAACCAGTCTTAAGTCATTTCTGAGGAAGACTTTAACAAAAATTTTTTAAGTCATGCACATTATGACTTGAATTTCAGGGGCTCCACCCTCCCCTCCGGGCCTTCCATGAACTTCCCAGGGGCCCTTGGACACCAGATGAAGAATCGAATCCCAGCTTGCCAGTCTTGACACACAGCTGCTGACCTCTTGCCTCCAAATCTGCCCTTTCCTGTGCAGTTAACAGTATTTTCCACTTACCTAATACCCACAAGGGCACAAGCAAATACGTCAGGGAAGGAGGGAACTCTGTAGGAAGAATTATTAGTGACTGGGCATCCCCTCTAGTGCATGGTGGAGCTGGGAGAGACGGTGAGCTTTGTGGATGGGTTGCTGCCCAGAGCAGCAGACCATCGATGTGAAGAGAGCCATAGACCATGACTCCTGGAAGGAGAGGACACAGTGATAACAGGAGTCCTTCCCTGAGAGCAAGGCCCCCTGGCCACCATAGCAGTGTGGGACAGTGTTAAGAGCTTGGGCTCAATAGCTAGAATGTCCTACATTTATATGTGGCTCTGTGACCTAATTGTGTTATTTGGACAGGTTACTGTGCCTTGAGTTTTGGGGGTCCTCATCTGTTAAAATGAGGATAAGGGTTATGCAGCAGAGGGGCATGTGGGTGGCTCAGTTGGTTAAGCGTCTGCCTTTGGCTTGGGTCATGATCCTGGAGTCCCAGGATGGAGCCCCACATCAGGCTCTCTGCTCAGGGTGGGTTGGGGGTGGTCTGCTTCTCCCTCTGTTCCCCATCCTGCTTCTGCTCTCTCTTGTGTGCTCTCTCTTTCTCAAATAAATAAATAAAAGCTTTAAAAAAAAAAAAAGTCATGCAGCAGAAATGATAGAACATACTGAATGTTCCAGGACTCCCTTGAATTTTCCAGCCTCCCTCGCAGAAGGTTGGGTCATGTGACTAGTTGTGGCTAATGATTTGTGAGTGGAAGAGGCATGTGTCCCTCCTGGCTGAGGCATTAATGTGTCTGTGTACTTCCTCCATCTGTCTCCTCCATCTTCCAGAATGACCCTGGAGGCCAGTCTTCCAGATGGTGTGACTACAAGATGGAAGAAAGGTCTTCTGTTTCATATCAGATTTTACATGAGTAGTAAATAAGATTTTATTTTGCCAAACTGCCAAAATTTCAGGAGCTCTCTGTTGTGACAGCTAGTATTAATTACCCTAATATAGAGAGAGCTGATTGAGATGATGGATCCCAAGCCCTCTGAGTACAGTGGAGGTGTTATTCTCAGAGAAAAGACTTAAGACCCCTATATTAGTCAGCCCGGCTGCCATAACAACAAAATAAAAAATATCACAGATTGAGTAGCTTAAATGAGAGAGATGTATTTCTCAGAGTTCTGAAACCTGGAACCCCAAAATCAAGGTATCAGCATGATTGGGTTCTGGTGAGAGCTTGTAAATGGCTGCATTTTGTGCTTTGTCCTCATATGGCAGAGAGAAAGAGACAGCAAGCTCTCTGGTCTCTCTATCTCTCTTTTAAGTAATTTCTACGCCCAGGGTGGGGCTCAAACTCACAACCCTGAGATCAAGAGCAGCATGGTCCACCAAGTGAGCCAGCCAGGTGTCCTTCTGGTGTCTCCTCCTATGAGGGCACTAAACCCCTTAGGAGGGAACCCTCATGACCTCATCTAAACCTAATCACTTCCCAAAGTTCCCATCTCCATATGTATCATCACATTGCAGGGCAGGGCCTCAACATCTGAATTTGGTAGGGGGTACAATTAAGTCTGTAATACCCCCTTAACCCAGGGCTTCTCACATCTCTTCTTAAGAGCAAAATTTTTTAAAAGATGTATTTATTTTAGAGAGAGGGAGAGAGAACAAGAAGGGGGAGGGACAGAGGGAGATGGGGAGAGAGAATCTCAAACGGACCCCACACGGAGCAGGGAGTCCCATGCAGGGCTCAATCTCACCACCCTGAGATCATGACCTGAGCCAGAATCAAGAGTGGGACGCTTAAACCACGGAGCCACCCAGGCGCCCCAGGAGCAAATTTTTTTTTTAAGATTTTATTTATTTATTCATGAGAAACACAGAGAGGAGAGAGAGAGGCAGAGACACAGGCAGAGGGAGAAGCAGGCTCCATGCAGGGAGCCCAACGTGGGACTCGATCCAGGGTCTCCAGGATCACGCCCTGGGCTGAAGGCAGCGCTAAACCGCTCTGCCACCCCGGCTGCCCCCAAGAGGAAATTTTTGTAAAAAGCAGAGGCAGGCAAGGGCGAGGTGAGGTGAAGTTTTCATGGAGAGGGACATCCTGAGGAAGGCTGCCTCCCCCACCATTCCACTGTTTGCCTCATGACACAGTCCCTTAAACCCCGTTTCCCTCTGAGTCTTTTCTCCTCTCTTCCATTGTCTGCACATCCTGACTTTCATAAGATTCACAGACAAACCCTTAGATAATTAATTGACTCATCAAGACTAGACAATTCCTAGGTCTTCAAGGCCATCTTGTTTCACCTCCTGATTCTTTTTTTTTTTTTAAGATTTTATTTAGTTATTCATGGGAGACACACACAGAGAGAGAGAGAGACACACAGGCAGAGGGAGAAGCAGGCTCCCCACAGGGAGCCCGATGCGGGACTTGATTCTGGGATCTGGGGATCATGCCCTGAACCTAAGGCAGATGCTCAACTACTGAGCCACCCAGGGTCCCTCTCCTCCTGATTCTTCCCAATGACAAGACTGGACCTGGAGAAGGCCTCAGAAGCACCAGACGCCGGGGCTGGCTTCTCCAAAAGATAAGGGGTAGGGGGCAGTCTGGGGCACCAGGGACAGAGAGACAGAAGGAGAGAATCAGACTATTAAGGAGGAAGCTGACTTTCATTTCAGTATATCGACTTCACATAATTTTTCAAAACAAAATTTTATTCCACGAGTGGTTTTCCCCCCGTAATTTGGAAGTAATGCATTTGGGGCCCTCTGGGCCCCCTAAAATGTGTGATCCAGCCTGTCCAAGGCTTGAATCAGGGTATCACGGGAGCTGCCTTCCTTATGCCATTGCTTCCTGGAGTCCTGTCTGCTGCCTCCGCTGCTGAGCAGCCTGTGACCATTAACTTCTTCACCCTCCACCCCCGGCCCAGGGCGGGCCCCTGGGGCCCCGGGTCACGTGCCAGGCAAGGGGTTTGTCCCTGGGGCCCCTCCGGCCCCACCAGAGCCAGGATCCTCGGTGCCCAGGCCCATGGCCATGGCCCTCGTGCTCCTCGCGGGGGTTCTGCTCCCTTGCCCAGGCGAGTTCCTGCCCTTTAAAAAGAGGTTCATGAAGGTGAGCCAAAAGAGCATTTCGAACCTTCCACTGTAGTCGCCTTAGACCAGCCAGGAGGCACTGGTTGGGTTTGGAGAGCTGAGTAGGGGGTGGGGACTTGTTCCCAGGGCTGGAAGCTTACTGAGTCCCCCAAAGGGCTTCAGAGCCCTGCTGCTTCACCTGCCTGGTGGCCCCGGAAGTGAAAGAAAGTGGCCTTATGACCAGCACCAAGCCCCCCCTCCCCTGAGCCCAGCCCACCCCAGGCTGTCTCAGACCTGCCCCCCAGCCCGGCCTTACCAACCTGCCCTAATCTCTCTTCCCCCTCTCTCGAGCAATCACTCTTCATTCCCTTCCCCATCTTTCTGTCCCTCCCTTTCTTCCCACCACTCCTACCAAGTGTGAGCTGGGTATAGAGCATAGAGGGAGCCCAGGAAAAGGAGAGACACAGGCAAAGTACTGACCCCCCCTTCCTCTCCTGGGGCAGGTGCAGGGCAGGGGGTGTCCCCTAGTGGCCACCATCTCATGGCCTCTCTTCCCGGACCCCAGGGGCCTAGCAATGTCCCAGGTCCTCCCTCCCCTTCCCATGCAGCCAGAGAGCTGGTGGCACCAGAGTTGTCCCCACAGGTGAACGGAGTGGAGTGCTCCCACCACTCCGAGTGCGTCAGTGACTGCTGCCTAATGAACCTGGACCACGGAGGCGCCTTCTGTGCCCCCAAGGCCAGAATAGCCATGTTGTGCCTGTTCCAGGTGAGGCTCTGGGCTGGGGCAGCCAGCTCTGGCCTGAAGGGTGGGGGAGGCTAAACAGGCCTCTGGGGCTGCCCCCTGCTTTCTCACCCTCTGCTTGGAGTGCCCTCACCCCTTCCTCACCCGGCCACTCCTACTCATCCTGCAGCACAATTCTGGTCGCCTCCTCTGGGAAGCCTGCATCTCCCACTCTCAGCACAGCCTGGATTGCCCCAGTCTTCCCTGGGTGCCGTCCAGAGCATGAGCTGGCTGGAGCTTGCCCAGGGCAGCCTTGCAGCATGGCCATCTTTGAACCCCCTACCTCCAACTTAGTATCTGCACACAGTAGGTGATCACTGAACGTTTGTTGAATGAATATTCTCTACCCTGACATCACTGAGGCAAAGGAGATGGGAAAAGACTTTTTCCCTACCAGTCCTCACCTCCCTCTCTCTCTTTTTTTTAAGATTTTATTTATTTATTCATGAGAGACACCGAGGGAGAGGCAGGCCGCCTCGGGGACCCCGATGTGGGACTTGATCCCAGGACCCCGGGATCACATCCTGAGCCAATGACAGACGCTCAACCACTGAGCCACCCAGGTGACCCACCTCTCCAATTTTTTGAGAAGAGCCTGGCACTGCGGCAGCAGGGACCAGAGCTTGGGAGTAGGACCTGAGGTTTTTTTGTTTTTTTTTTTTTGTTTTTTCTTAAAGGTTTTATTTATTTTTTTATTCATGAGCAACACAGAGAGGCAGAGACACAGGCAGAGGGAGAAGCAGGCTCCTCTCAGGGAGCCCGATGCGGGACTCGATCCCCGAAACAGGATCATGCCCAGAGCTGAAGGCAGACGCCCAACCGCTGAGCCACCCAGGCGTCCCAATGACCTGAGTTTAAATCCTGGATTTTCCATCCCCTGTCTCTGTGACTTCAGCCAGGTCACCTCTGCTCTCTGAGCCTTAGTTTCCTCACCTGTAAGATGGTGCTAAAGTGACAACCTCACCAATATTGTCCTGGCAACAACAGTGCCCATCCGGACTTGGTTCTGAGCTGATAGAAATGTAGAACGCATAGTACGGGTTGTTACTCCTCGTCCTTTCTTATCTGGCCCTGGGCCCAAACCTTTCTAGGAAGAATGGGCTGGGCCTCCACTTCCCTGTCTGGGGAGCTGCCGATGGCCTGACTATACAGCTGGGGTGTCCAGAGGGTCTTTTCATGATGGGCCCTGGATCTATTTTATTCAGTCCTCATGGTCACCCCATGAGGCAGGTTACTATTACCACCCCCATTTGATGGATGAGGAGACTGAGACCAAGAACTCACTAACTTGCCTAAGGTCATAGAGCTATCCACTGTACAGCTGACAGCCCCCAGTCCCCTGCTCCCCGAGAGGTGTAAACCCCCTTCTTCCCTGTACCTTGGTGACTCCCACCTCTCGTTCACATTTCCCACAGACCAAAGGAGCCCTCAACGTCATATGCCCCTGCCAAAGCGGCTTGAGTTGCATATCCAAGGACCCAATCTGTTCCCGCCGTTGCCATTTGATTTAGAGGAGGATCCAGGCTGGTCACTGCCACCCCACCCTCCCTCAGTCCCTTGGGGCCAGAGGCCTGGAGAGCCCTGTCTTGCTCACATTCCAGCTCCTGAGACATTAAAGTCACTTCCTGACTCTGGTCTCTGTTTGCACTTTCTGGGAGAGGGAACCTGGGAAGGATTATTCTAGTCCGGGTGGAAAGTTTGGCTCTATCTAGAGGCGTGGTGGTCTTGGGGCGGAGCTGCAGGAAGGGGATGGGATAGGGGTAGTGAGCGAAGAGGCTGGGTCCGGGGAAGGTGTGGAGGGCTGGCTGTATGGGAAGGGCAGGGTTGGGGAATATGGCTGGAAGGTGTATGTTGGGGTGCCCATGGATGGGTTATATGGTAGGAAGGACTGGAAGGGAATATTGAAATCCTTTCCAAGGGGAGCAGAGGGTGGAGATCATTGAGAGAATGTTATGAGAAGGTGTGTAAAGTGTGTAAAGTATAAATGCAAAAATGTTCAAGCCTGTGGTGGGAAAGACCTGGTGCTTTCGGGTCTCCACTCTCTCAGATTTTTTTTTTCAAGATTTTGTTTATTTGAGAGACAGAGAGAGAGCATGAGCAGGGGGAGGGACAGAGGGAGAGGGAGAGCAGATTCCCCGCTGAGGAGGGAGCCTGACGTGGGGCTCTATCCCAGGACCCTGAGATCATGACCTGAGCCAAAAGGTAGATGATTAACTGACTGAGCCACCCAGATGTCCCTCCACTCTCTCAGATATTATCGGTTCCATTTTACGAGTAAAGAAACGGAGGCTCGGGCAGCCCGGGTGGCTCAGCAGTTTAGCGCTGCCTTCAGCCTAGGGTGTGATCCTGGAGACCCAGGATCGAAACCCACGTCGGTCTCCCTGCATGGAGCCTGCTTCTCCCTCTGCCTGTGTCTCTGCCTCTGCCTCTCTCTCTCTCTCTCTGTGTGTGTGTCTCTCATGAATAAATAAATAAATAATATTTTTAAAAAAAGAAAGAAACTGAGGCTCAGAGAGCTACGTGACTCCCAAGGTCATGCCTTAGGCATGATGCTCAACCGCTGAGCCACCCACAGATTCCCTAAATGCTTTCTTATCTATATTAATTCATGTTATTGTTACAACAAGTTTAGAGTAGGTACTATAATTATCCCTATTTTACAAATGGGGTATTGAGTACCCTTCTCACGATTTCAGAATAAGGGATGGGGCTGGGATCTGAACCCAGGCTGTCTTGTTCTAGAGGGCAGGATCTTATTTATTTATTATTTATTTTAAAGATTTTATTTATTTACTTATGAGAGACACAGAGAGAGAGAGGCAGAGACACAGGCAGAGGGAGAAGCAGGCTCCCTGCAGGGGGCCCAATGTGGGACTCGATCCCAGGACCCCAGGATCACGACCTGAGCCAAAGGCAGACGCTCAACCGCTGAGCCCCCCAGGCATCCCCAAAGTCTTTGCCTCATTTTATTGTGGACCATGTCTTGCTCAACCATTTCTCTATGGGTAGCCATTAAGAACGTTTCCCAATCCAAACCATCCATTCAAGATGCAAGTTCTTGGCTAAGGACACAAAAACCTGCTGTGAAGATAGCTCAAACAAAGTCCATGACTTCTCCTGCACCTGCTGGTGGAAGAGGCAGGACGAGGGCTCTGCTGGTTGAGGTTGTCCTTGCGCTCACCACCTTCTAGCTTCCTGCTCAGCCATCTGCTGCTCTCCTCTCCATCCTCCTCCTCTGTCCTCCCCTCCGTCCTCATTTGTTTCTTTGTTGCATTATAGGAGTTAATATGCAGATTCAGAGGCATTATTTTTCTGCATCTGGACATTCAAATATTACTCTGTTCCTCACATGGAGGTTTTAGAGGAATAATCCTAATGCTGAGAAGACCAAAGCTCCAGGTCACCTTCATTTAACCAAATCATTTTCTTCCCATCTGATCAGCCTTTTCTCTGCCCAGACACGGCTCTCATCTCTCAGAAGCCTTATTTCGAAGGTGAGGTCTCTACCCCCATAGGTTCCTCCTTTTTTTCCAATGCAAGGCAACAGATAATGCTATGAGTTCAAGTCCCATTTCATTTTCTTCACCATTGGCACCAGAAGGCCTGCCTTCCCATAGGTAGCTTGGGCTGTGTGAATATTTCTAGCCAGCAAAGTGACAGGTGTGACTTCTAGGCCTAAGCAGAGAAGCCCAAGTGTGACACATTGGAAAGGAAGTCTCCATTTTTGATGACTGGGCAATGACAGCTTTTAAGCCCTCACTCCCCTTCTGCGCCACATCTAGGCAAGCCCATATAAAGGTACACGCCCTCCTTGGTGCTGGTGGGCTGTGCAGACCACAATGCCCCCAGCCTGCCCAGGGAAACCCTCACTCTGGCCCCAATGCTTAGCCACAGTAAAAACAGCCAAAGCCACACACCCCTTCATCCTTGCTACTCACACCTCCTCGCACCTGCCCTGCTGTCCTGGGAATGTTCCTGTGTTCAACTAATAAATCTTTTCATATCATCTTGTTATGTGTATGATCAGTCCCAACATCTGAACCAATTTTGTTTGGTGGTTGGTTGGTTGGTTGGTTGGTTGGTTGGTTAAGATTTTATTTATTGATTGATGAGAGACACACAGAGAGAGGCAAAGACACAGGCAGGGGGAGAAGCAGGCTCCATGCAGGGAAACTGATGCGGGACTCGATCCCAAGATCCCGGGATCACGTCCTGAGTTGAAGGCAGACGCTCAACCACTGAGCCACCCTGGCGTCCCCCAAACCAATTTTGGATGAGAGTTGATTTCCCCCTCCATGAAGCACCCACAAAAGCTTTGAGTTCCCAGTTCTCTCTTGCCACAGCCAGGCTGTCAGATGAGGTGGTGGGTGGGTGGCTGGGTGGTGCCTGGATCACTAGAGTCACCCATGAAGGACGGTTTACCCCAGAGAGTGTCCTGATTCTGTACCTCCTCCTAACCCCTCTCCCCCACTGCATGCACTCTCTCCTTCTCTAAAAAGAAAAAGAAAAAGAAAAAAATTCTAATTGAAGATCTCTGGGGAAAGAGAGTGGAAAGATGAAAACTAGAACCTAATTGTTACTTGATAGCTCTGTGACTTTTGGGGAAGTTGGGCAACTTCTCTGGGGCTCAGTCACCTCATCTGAGAAAATATTCATGATGCTGTTTATTAACCATAATATACAATCAGGGGGAGCCTGGGTGGCTCAGTCGGTTGAGTCTTCAGCTCGGGTCATGATCCTGGAGTCCTGGGATGGAGTCCCGCATCCTGCTCCCTGCTCAGCGGGGAGTCTGCTTCTCCCTCTCCCTCTGCCCCTGCTTGTGCTCCCTCATTCTCTCTCTCTCTCCCCCCGCTAAATAAATAGATAGATAGATAGACAGATAGATAGATAAATAAATGTTTGGAAAAAATGAGCTCTATTAAAAATAATAATAATAATAATAACATACAATCGAATTACATGAAAGAATCTTTTCAAATCCCTGGAACTCGGAGACCTTTGAATTCTAGAGCTAATGAGATCCGCTGCCATATGTGGCTAGTGATCATCAAATGGGAACATGCAGAAAAAGCACCTTTTTGCATTGGGGCAAGTCCTGTAGGACAGCTGTTCTGGAATGTCAGCTCCCGCAGAGCAGGCATTTCTGGGCACTTCTGTTCCTTTTGCTCCCAGCTGGGTTCCCAGGGCCCGGAACGCTGCCTGGACTCAGTAGGTGCTCGGTGTGCTACTTGCTGACTACTGGGCTCGTCTGACAGAGACGACGGCGGCAGTGACAGATCGTGCGACCTCCTAAGACGCAGCACTGGGGATCAGGACGTGTGTGAGTGTCGGGGAGGAGGGAGCCCCGAGGTGACAAGCAGGCTCCGCTTTAAGGGTAAATACGAGTTTGCAGAGAGAAGGTCGGGCCGCGGAAGGAACCGCCGGGTAAAGACAGGAAGGCCTGGCTCGGCAGGTGCGTGCGGGAGAAGTCACCTGTTTGGGTGACACGAATGGCAAACCTGCCACATCTCTCTAGTCCCCTCGGGCACCAGCTCCCGACCGCCCGGCCCGGGCGAGGGCGCAGCGCGGCGAGCGCGGGCAGCCGCAGGGGCCGGACCAGGGCGCCGTCTCCCCGCAGGACGCCCGGGAGCTCGGCCTCCAGCGCAAGCCGCGCAGGAGCGAGGGCTGCCGCCGGGCGCTCGGGGGCAGCACGTGTCACAGCCCGGGGAGGGGGGTCCCCAGAAAGGAGGGAGGGGGACCCAGAACCCGACGGAGCCGGGGGAGGGGAGGGGAGCGGCCAGCCCCGGAGCCGGAACGCGCGCTGCGACTGCACGTCCCAGACGCCTGGGGGAGCCCGAGGACCGGCCCAAGGTGGGGACCGCCCCCCGCCGCCCCCAAAGGCTGGGAACCCCAGGTGGGGGGCGGGGGGCGGGGCTTTTCTTTCGAATGGGGGTTGCGGCTCTGGCTCTCGAGAGGTCGTCTCAGCAAACTTTGAAAGTTGCCTTGTAAGTGGGCACAGCTAGAAGGTCGGCTCCCAGCGTGGTTCCCGGCCCTCCCTTCTCGGCAGCCCCAGGGCTTCTGCTGTGGCTCCAGGTCAGGGGGTGCGCAGGAGACGGGAGCTGGTTTGCCCGCTAAAGGACTTAAGGAGAAAAGGTGGAAGCCGCCTGGGAGTGGGTGTTTATTCCCTCAGGATAGGCACATGGGTTCAGGACATGAAAAGTGATGCCAGAGATTAAACTAGGAGGAGGGCACCAACAATCCTAGGGGGCAGCCTGGAGGAGGCAACCAGAGGCACCGACTGAACGGTGTCTGAGGGGGTCCCTTCAGCTCAGGCTCCTCTGCTGTGTGCAAGCAGATGGGCCCCAGAGCTAGACTGGGCTGGGAGTGGGGACTGCCCCTTAAGGGCTGAGGGCAAAGCAACCCCCAAGGGCAAGGTCAAAGTCCTGTCTTTCCCAGACATTCCTGCACCTGGATAATGAGTTGTTCCTGCCTGCTGGACCTGACTTGGGTATTTCTGAAGAATGAGAAATCA